TGTGTGTGTGTGTGTGTGTGTGTGTGTGGTGTGTGTGTGTGTGTGATAGCAAAACACTTGTTAGCACGTTAGCATTTTTGACCCAAGTTCCAGTTGGGGTTTAAGCACTAAAAGTCCACATTTTAGTGACAGAGCGTTTGTTTGGGAACTGTCCGTGGTTCTGAATGTGCTTTGCTTCCATCAAGGTCACACACAGACACACACACACACAAACACACACAAACACACACACTGAGACCCATCTGCTCCACTTGGCTGCCTCTGCATTGTTATGGTTAATCCAGACTGATTCATTGTGCTATTAGGTTATAGGTCCTATAAACTAAGGCTCAGAAATAGTTTACATTAGCACGCATATGGGGGGGGGGGGTGTAAAACTGCAGGTTTTAAATCAATCCTCTCAATCACACGAACTCACAAAGCAGSACCACACGAATCAGACAAAATAAATGTCAGAGGGAGTGTTCGCTACGTAGGTTCATTTGGCAAACACGTGAGTTGACGGCCCGGCGGAGTGATGAACGACGACACGCAGGGATGAGCAGTTTCTCAGGAGAGCCGCCGCTTCCTTATCCCTAATGTAGACGCAGCGATACATGAAATGCAGGAGACGTGAAGGAGCATTTTATATTCCACTTAGAGCATTRATCCCGGGGCTGACAGGATAGTAAGTCACTGCAGGAGGGAAGTGGTGCGTTTTGAAGGCGACGTGGGAGAGAGCTTCTCCATGACAGCAGCAACCGGTGCTTCATTTAAAATTGGCGGTTAAAGAAATGCTTTCGAATTTGTTTTTGTGTGAGTAAATCTCACGAGATGTTTGTTCTCAAGAGTATACCCCACCAATGTTCAGCTTAACAGCTGTAAAGATCTGCTGTTGCATGTTTAGTGGATCAAACAATGCAAAGAAATCACGAAAGGACAGAAATAAAGAAAGTAATCGTATAATCCATGCGTGTTTGCATTTATCGGATTTCCATCTTAACGTTGTTTTTCCATCCAATTCATATGTTCTTATTTGATGAAAAAGGGGGAAAAAAGAAATCAATTTCCAAAGCGTAAAATGTGAAATAAAATGCTCAAATGAAGGACGCCTCCAGCTGCAACGGTTGATGGAGTTCAAACCGTAGCGGTTAGGAGTGGAAAACCTCCTAAAATGGAGTGTGAAGTGTTGCAGTTGTGTTATTCTGTCCAAGAAGGATTCTCCCGGGCTCTTCACTTCATTACTTTATARTTCCCCGACTCATTTTCTTCATTTTTGACTTCTAGCTCTTCACCCACATAACTCATTATTATGGCTCTTATCAGAAATATCTCACAAAGCACTGGGCCAGTTTTAATGAAACTTACAGAAAGTCATCATTACCTTTTGAAGCCAAATTGATWCAAGATGGCTGCCACTGCCAAGTGACTTTAAAGTAACACAAAATGACACTAAATCAGTCAGTTTCGCAGGTATTGAGCTAAAATTGAATATATTTACAGCCAAGATTCTCAGCAGATCTGATGAGATTTTTTTTACAAAACAGCTACAACTTGTCATTTCTYAATATAAGATAAGCTAAAGCTGGGATTTAAAAGGCAGCAGGGATGTGAGTTCCTTCAAGGACTGATTAATATTTTYCCCCCATCCTCATCGCTGTTTCTTTCATTTCATCCTTCAGTTTATGCTCCATAGGCCACCTCTGCAGTCTGAGTCAGAACTCACAACCATCTTCTTCTTGCTCTCTGCCTCCCGACACGTCAGACWGTTTGTGGAGTAGTTTTTTTTTTCCTTTTTGGAGCCAAGTGTTAAAAGTCTGCATGTGAAAGCCACGCCATGTGTTGGAGAGAGGAACAACCAGTGTAGATGAGGTGAGCGCCTGACAGGCAGCAAGCTTGTCGCCCGAGGTGGAAGCCCCCTGCTTTCTCACGCAGCTCTCAGTGTCTCTGGTGCTCCTCTACCTCCCACACAACACTTGCAATGTTAAACACTCGAAAACACACACACAAACCTGAACGTGGCACATTCTGCCTGGCAACCGGAATGTTTTATGTTTTAGTTTTTTAGTTTTTTTTTCCCCCCACACTCGCCGTGCACTCGTCCCCCTCCCCACTTTCCTGCTGGCCTTGCACCAAACCAAAAGCAGAACTCTCTTCTGATGTTTCTGCATGCAGCTGTTTCCTTCAAACAGAAGGTGCAGCGCAGCCATGCAGAAAGCCTCCTGGAAAAGGTGCAGTGTCTACAGAAACACTCTGCGATCAATGAGCCAGGGGCTTTAATAAGACAAGCTTCCAGCASCTAAGCTAACCTCGATCCCCAGCTGTTGAACTCTTACTCAAAAGCAAAACCACAAAACCTCTTTGTGTGTTTAGAAAATGGCCTTCAAGTGAGTTATTAGAGTTATTCTGATGACAAATGTTTTGCTGCGTCATCATGTAAATGTGGCGCTATTTTTTACGTGCTCGCTGTGCTTCATTACAGCTAATTTACAAATATTTGCATCTGCATCAGAATAAATTCGATCACCCTGATTTACCTAAATTTGGCTCATTTTAGAACWAAATTTGACTCAATTACAATTGTTTTCTTTGCAACAAGATAAATCCAAGAGCTGTTATTTTTTATTTTAACAGAATAAAACATGAATTTATTTTTAGTATTGTAAAATTCAAAGCATTGCTGCCTGTTTGTTTAAAAATTAAATACTATACCATAATAAAGTATCTATGTCATCTTTAGCTGTTATTAAAATACTGTTTTATGTTTAAATAGAAAATAAACTTATATTCTCATCCCTTCCTCTTATAAACGTCTTGAAATTGGCCTCTGTCTCTTTAAGAACCACCTTCCACTTCCGTTTTACCCATTTTGGAGCAGGGGGGGTGCCATGATGCAGTTTACTTGGCATCTAAAAATCCATTTCCTCAAAGGTATTTTTAATCTGAAAAGAGCTTCACTGAGTGAGAACTAGTGTTAAGGAGCTCAGCAGACAGTTAGGTTTCACTTTCACTTTCACCCGAGAGCCTGCAGGAGTCATGGGCGGGGTGTGTGCGGTGGAGGGGGTGCAGTCTGCCATGAGGAAGTTCAGCTTAAAGACACGTCCCAGGGGCGTTTCTGGTCCCCACCTGTCGTTTTGCTCCTCAGCATGGCTGCCTAAAAACGCTGCAGGATTTCTTAAACATGCATGAATGTGTCAAAGCAAGGCTTTGGACATGTTTCTTATGATAGTGTAACATTATAACATGATATAAAACTCAAAAAAGTTGATTTTACATGAWATTGCCCCTTTAAYGATTTGGCTGCTGAGTGGTTCGGTTCTCTGTA